AATTAGGACATGGATTGCTAACAACGGACACCTACGAGAAAAAGATTGAGAATTGCTGTGAATGTAAATCTGGAGAAGTGAGACATGAATGCGATTTCTATAACCCTGCAAATGAAACGTTTGTATATTTATAAATTGTACATGATTACTATAATTCATTAAGATTATGTTTTAAGCTGAATATTAATATATTAAATGATTTCATGACTTAAAGCAAATGTGGTTCAGTTCAGGAAGAATCTGTGAGCCCTCCCAACCCATACAACATATACGATGATTGTGGCGCTAATTCCGCTTATATTAGACTTTATAACAGATATTACGCAAAGAAATTAAACAAAAAGCCTATTAGGGAAAGGTCTAATGATAATTACAATTGTCCTCATGATGGTTATGAAGATTATCTCAATTTACCACAAGTACGTAAAGCACTGCACGTACGAACTGAAGACACCCATAAGTGGTCTGATTGTGGTGGTGAGTACGAGGGTACTATTACAGGCCAACGTAAAGTAATTAATGAGCTTTTAAATACATATAAAATTGGAAAAATTGTAATATTTAACGGAAACTTTGACACTGTATGTGATTTCATTGATAACCAGCGATTTGTTGACAGTCTGGGACTCACAAAAGTTAGCCCCTATAGGTAACACAAATTATTTATTACTCTCTAATTATATTTATAGTTGAGAATTGTTGATATATTTATAAAGATAACAATTATTATAATATACATTTAGTGATTAAAAATGTTTGCATTCAGTTCGTGGACAACACCCGATGGAAGTGTTGCTGGTTTTGTGCAGCACTACGAGAAAAACCTGAGTTTCGTGTTAGTCCGCGGGGCCGGACATATGGTCCCTCACGACAAACCAGAGCCTGCCCTACAGTTACTCAAGAATATCGTCGGAATTACACAGTTTTAATGATACAAATAATAAAATAAACAAAAGTGTTATATAATTTTAAAATGAATTATATTTTATTTTGTGTTAAGAATTTGATAATTAAATATTTAGCAAGTTTGTATTGATTGTAGCCTGAATTATAAGAATATAATGAGAAGATATGAGTATATTTAATATTTAGATCTTTAAAGTCGATATTATCTAAAAGTTACTTATGATTTAAAATAATAAGCTATACAGTAGCAAATACATTAATGACAATTCATATAGAAATACTGTAAGATATATCATATATGGGACCCCTTCATAGAAAATCAAGTGTTAATCTCATTGACATACAATTGACATACAATTGACATACAATTGACACATTCAGTACGACAGTAACATTGAATGGTTGTAATATCTAAATAGATTCTAAGAAATGACATTAAATTTCATATGTATTTTAAGTGCAAGTATAACTGAACTCACATGATTAGACATACAAATATTAGCTATAAAAGGCATCTTTAAAATATTAAAACTTATTACTTAAGTTTGCTAAATCATAATTAACCAAACATGAATAATTTTATAATTTATAACATTTTTGTTATATTTTCTGTAAACCTATTTCTCGTGTTTGCAGCAAATGATGATGAGATAAAAGACTTACCCGGACTCCCAAAGGCAATCAATTTTAAGCAATATTCCGGTTATTTGGATATAACTGAAGGCAAACATTACTTCTATTGGTTTGTCGAGAGTCAAAAGGATCCCGAGAACGCACCGGTAGTCCTATGGCTGAATGGAGGACCCGGTT